ATAGGGCTTAGAGAGGGAGTTGTCATCCTAAGAAATGCAGGGGCAGAATGCCAGAGACAGTAGAATGGCCTGTGCAGGCGTGTAGATAACATCAGACTCTTCACGCTGGGGAGGTGACATGTTCTGTCCTGGGATCATCTTTCCGACCCTTCGCGGATTCCTGTTGTTTGCTGAGAGCAGCATGTTTGCTGAAAGACGTCTCCTTTGGGCCAAGCGTGACAGAAAGTATAGCGTTTCCCAGAGTTGGAGAACGAGAGAAACGGGTATTTAATGGGCACAAAGTTTCAGTTCTGCAAGATAAAAAGGTTCTGGAGATGGAGAGTAGTAATGATAACACAAAAATGTGAAAGTATTTAACACCACTGAACTGCTGCACACATAGCTAAAGTGTTCATGTTATTTATATTTTACCGCAATGCAAAATTAATCTTTTAATGAAAATATACCTCAAAAAAAAAGGTGACTGAAATGAAAACAACACCGCAAATTATTCCCTCCCCACATCCAAACTCCCCAGCGGCAGCCAAGGACCAAACGTGTCAGCAAAGCGTACAAAGGACAGTATTCCCAGGCCTGCTAACTCTGTTCACAGAAGATGAAATCTTTGGTAATTAAAGAAATGAAAAATTAAAATACACATCAGAATGAAAAAGGAAAAAAACTAAAATCTTTCTCTAGTAAATATTGGCAAGGATACAGAACAGTGGAAATTCCTATAGAGAGCTGCTAACAGTATAAACTGGTACAACTATCTGAGAGAGCATTTTGGTGAGCGTGAATGACTTCAAAGAGTAAAATTTTTCACTGTACATACATGAAAGATTTTTCATGTAGTAAAAATTTGGAAACATTAATGGAAGACTGGATGGATAAATAATATGATTAGTGTTAGTGTTTTCAGGGCAATAAAAGAGCAAACTATAAAAGTAAAAAGTAGCCTTTATTCCAAGGACGTGGAAGGGGTCCTTGACCACAGGGGTCTGGCTTCCTCGGACCCGAATGTGGGGTATGGGATATATATTTATATATAACCTCCGACCAGGAGTGATGCTTAGGGTGGGCACTGATGACTCGAGAGGAGCTGATTGGAACTTTCTTCACACACTCTGGGAAAGGAAAAAGGAAGTGTAATAGGTGAAGGAGGAAGTGACTTCAAGGTAAACGTCCCCTGATTCTGCCTCCCACCGCCAATCCTATAACGTATTCTAGGGCAAAACTCTTTCAATTAGTTAAATATGAATGGACTAGGATGTTTGTGAGAGATGGGAATCAGACGGCCAATGGTGAGGTGAAGTTGGTTGGGCAAGAAAGAGAGGTCAGGAGAGAGAGGCTGCTGTAAAGGAAAACAGTTCGAGAGACTAGAACAGTTTAGAGATGTATGTCAAAGTGCAATATTTAGTGTAGAAAAAAGTCACTTAAGAAATACTTACAGTTTAAGCTGGACATGATGGCACAGCCCTGTAATCCCAGCACTCGGAAAACTGAGGCAGGAGGATCTGTGTGAGTTCAAGCTGCTACTGCGTAGTAAGTTCAAGGCCAGCCTGAACCACACAGTGAATTCTTCCTCAAAAAAAAAAAAAAAGACTACTTTAGATTTAATATCATGTAAGTATATTTTCAAACCCATAAAACATTACTACATATTTATGAGTCCATTTATGAATCCATTTATGTATAAGTAAGACATGAAAATATGGATGAAAATGAGATATAATTTCCAATTTTTTGCATATTTAGAATATTTCATGATTAAATACTTATAGAAGCAATCAAGGTCTATGAGAAAGTAAGGTCAAAGGCCTAAGTATCAAGGGAAAGAACTCACCCTCTAAGACCTGAGAAAAAGGAGCAAAAATGAATACAGTAAGTGGTTGTTTTTATGGGCGTTGCAGAATAGAAACTGCCTCCTAGAGACACCAATGAGATTTGGTGAGATTTGGTGAGATTTGGCCACTCGGGCCACAGAAAAACAGGCCGAGAAGATGATAGTGAAACCAAAAAGGAATTTAATTTCAGTAGGGCTTAGTGAGAAGATGCATCTAAGGGCTGTCTTTAGGGTGTCTTGATGGAGGGGCAGAGGCCAGAGCTGGGGGGCTCATGTAGCTGGTGATCCCAGTTAGAGGGTGAACTGGCTGATCATTGTCCTGGGACTGGTCCCACAGTCTTATTGGTGTCAAGGAAATTGCCACTGCTCTGGAGACAATCACCGTGTGGTTTAAAGGATCTTTATCTATCAGACCATGAACCTGGAGTTTAAGGTAAATGAGGAAAAGAACATTTCAGAAAAGGACAGATTAGAGAGAAGCAAAATGGAGTCAGTTGGGTTAATAGTTGGCTCTTCCTTGTGTTAGGAAATAGAAACGTGGTAGGTATGGAAGATCATGTCTGATAGCCTCAGCTGACTTACACGAAGTGGAAGGGAGAGCCAGCGACAAGGTGACAGGAGGAAGTGTGGGGAGGGATGCAAGGAAGACGTCACAGGTCACCGAGGATAATATGAGAAGCAGCCGGGGAAGGACCTGTAAAAGGCACGGCTGAGCGAGCCTGCTGCGAGTGTGTGCCAGCCCCGCAGACCGGCTTCCTGAAGCAGTCATGCGCAGTGTCCACGGTTTGGGTAGCTGTTGAACCGAGGTGAAGCACAGCACACGAGTGGCTGCAGGGTGCTGGTCAGAGAGGAGGTCAGATTGGGCTGAGTGAGGAATGAGCCTGGGAGGAAACTGTTGTGCAAAAAGCGAGCTGGAGCTGGGAGCCTGGAAATCCCTGTGAGCTCCAAGGGCAGAGGAGAGGACCTGTGGGAGGGTCAGACAGGAGAGATGAGTGCATCCGTAACTTCTTTGCGGCCTTGTTATCAGGAATTTACTCGGTAGCACCTACGTACTTCTGATTCTCCTCGGATAATAACCAAATGTGAGAGGCCAACTACAGAGGAAGTCAGATCAGCGAGGCTTAGTGTCCAGTTCAATTGCTTCATCCCCAAATGCAGTTCATATCGGGGCATTCAATCAGCTGTTCATCAGAAGTAGATTTGGGTGCTAATAAATTAACTTTGCAAGACAGGCAAACTTTGATTAAGGTTTGAAGATCAGTAGAAGCAGCGGCCCCAGGAAGTTACTTCCTCCGCGCTCAGCAAGGTCCCAGATGTTGAAGTTTTCAAACACGAGGAGAAAAAGAAATGGTTAGCACAATGCACTGTCTACAAAGCTCGAGCCTAATGAATCCGTAGATCAGAGGAGGGGTCTCTTCAATTCTAAAGGCAGAGCCTCAGTAGCAGGTAAGTTTCAGAGTGTTAGGAAGTTGGTTGCCAACTAATGATATTCCTGAAGTTCTCAGACTTAATTAGTATTCTACTCGAGTGAACATTACTGAAAATAATCATTTAATGCTTACATAAGCAACTGTTTGTGTCACACGTTCACGCAATGCATCCTTATTGCCCCTAGGTGGCACTGTAGATCACCACTCGTGCCAGAGTCAAAATTCCAGCCCACATAGTACAATTTTTTTTTTAAGTACAACATATGGCTTGACAACAGTTCTTAATAATCCAAGAATCTCATTAATTTCAAAATATGCTGTCAAACATCTGCACTTTCCAAAGATGCTAGTATTAGAGCTTTGCTAATCTTGACCCAATTCTCTAAACTCTGTATCTGTGTGTCTGTGTGCGCGCGTGCGCACATTTTTCTGTGTTGAGAAGGTCCCATGTGCTCATTAGAGCTTCAGAATTCTCTGTGATCCTCCTCCCTCCCGGAGAAGTCGAGCACCAGCATTCTAATTCCGAGTCAGTCATGCCTGCGTACTGGGTACTGAGTTTGTCTCTTTATAGTTTACCAAGAGTAATTAATGTGAAAGTGAAGATAGCTTCTCAGATATCATTTTCTGACCTTTAAAGTTTTTTCTGCCCAGCTTTCATGAAGGGCACTGTAACGGCTTCCTATAACCACAGTTATATGGTAGCAAGTTGTGAGAGTCCTGCAAAGCAGGTGCAACAGAGATCTGGACAGAGACTGAGGAGACCGGGCAATGACCTCTGATGTTTTATGAATCACACAAAGTGACCAAGAGGGAAATTATATCAAAGTGGAGCGAGAGTCACCAGCCTAGAAACAAGTGCTTGAGACTGTAGTCCTAATGAAATTCCACCCAATGGGAAAGGGGAGATTTCATTCCAAAATATAAATCATCACTGATGGAGAAGGCAGCCAGGTGACTGTTGTCAGTCATGAGGTCTGCATGCATCAATAACTGGACCTTAGCTGTAGTCTCAGTTCCTGTCTTTATATGATAGCAGGAAAACACACGGAGAACCATACGTATCTGGAAACCAGTGGGTCTGGGGGAAATACTCCGGCTCAGTAGAGCGCTGCACCTGGTTCCAGCACCGGGCGGGGGCGTCCCGTCCATGCTGGACTCTGCTGGCCTCTGCTTTGGTAGGAGGCCTCCTCCCACTCTGAATGCGTGAGAGTGACTGCACCCTATCCCTGGGCTCACCGGGCTGCCGGCCCTTTGATTCAGCCGGGCCTTCCAGCCAGTCCTCCTGGGCAATATTCAGCATCTCGGTTCTCATCGTAGTAGTCTGTCGGTTCACTTTCCAGTAGTCAAAAGGGAACCAGTGAGAATTTGCTGATTAAATGACACCAGGGGATCCTGGCCAGCCCTTCCGCTGTTCATCACATTTTCCCGTCTTTCTCCTAACTGAAAACCACGACGGAGAGCCCTCAACTCCCTTCATCAATATGCAGTCCTAGGAAAAGGAAGAGAACCTCTGGTTTCAGTTTTGAACCTCATGACTAGGTCTTATTCCATTCATCTACCAAAACAGGCCCATGGGGCAGGAGTTATTTTTACAGGTAAAACTGAGGCTCAAAAAGTTTAAGTAATTTCCGTAAGGTGACAAATAAAAACAGAATTCAAACCTGACCCCACCTAACTTGAACCCCGTAACTCTTAACTCTTGTATTTTATTCTAAACTATTAATCTCATGTGTGATCTCTTTTAGATTTGATGACAGTGGCTATATTGAAGACGTTGCTGTAGATTTCATAGTGTGGGAAATATATGGCAGGAACGATTACAGTTACAATAATAGCATGAAGCAGGTATGAAGTCTTTGAATTTAAGTAGAATTTAGTGTGAAATTAGACATGGTTTTCTATTTTAAACATATACCTGAAATATCTAAGGAAAATAGAACCAGGAAGGTAGAAAACACATACTACCTCTGTATTAAGTTACACGGCCACTGAAATTCATTTATGAAAAACTAATGCATTGTCACATAACAGACATAAATGGGTCAGAAAAAATAATATTTGTAGTAGGACGGTGCGATTATATAGGAGCATTTTCTTTTGCTTCCAAACTGTACTTAATATTTATTTATGGGTCTGCCATATTGCGTTTATGCTAAACCAAATAGACGATTTTTAGACTATCTGACCTCTTTGCATCCTTTGGTCCTTCTGATCTTGGCTTCTTCAGTGTCTGTGCACTCTCCTAGCTCTCTTCCATCCTCCATTACCAGCTGATTTAGGGCTCCGAGGTGAATCCCTCTTATTCTGTCCTTTTGTTTTGTGCAACAGACAGAAAAGAGGTCTCCTAATCACCCCATGTCACCTCCCTGTCTGCCCTTGACAGCCTCCCGTCATGCTGGAGCCTCGTTAGACATTATCAGAGGTCACCCAATAATTTTAGGCTCAAGCAAAGCCAGCGCTCTTTCCAAAGTGGCGGTCTTCTCTCCCAGAAACATTGATTATGCAAGAATTGCAACTCACTTTGATGGCAACCGAGGGACTGGGTTCCATTTGCCATTTCCCAGGGTATTGCAAGAACTAATTGTCTTTCAATTATGTACCCAAATGAATCTCTCCCAGAACACGTTCCTCTATACTTTTCCAGCACCCATGACAGTGTGTAAACCCTCTGGTCCTCTTTCCCTTCACAGCCTTATCCCTGAGTTACTGCTTCCTTCTACTTTGGTCCAGACTCCTATGACCCTCTCCCTCCTCAGACCTTTCCAATATCCTTCATGGCTAAATGCCCCAAGGCCCTTCTTAAACAAAACTTCCTCAGGGGACTCACCTGTCCCTACAGTTCCATCAAACCAAGGGTACCCGTCCTCTCACCACACCTGTTTAACACTGAGATGTGGGGTTTATGTTCTCCCTAATCAATAGTAGTGTGGATCTGTCTCTCTCCACTCTTCAAGGAAACTTCTTTGAGGACCCTCCTATCTAACTGACATCTTTTTCACTCTTACTTGCCGACATCCTATAGTCAGAACTTGATCATTTTGCCTCATGATCCAAAAATAATTATAGATGGCTTCTGAACCCTAGGAATAATGAAAATAACAATGGGAGAGCTAAAGGATTAGAGAGAGGTTCCGAATGCTAGGAATGGTGGTAATAACAGTGAGAGAACCATCACACAGCGCTGCAGCTGGAAAGGCTTCTACACGGGGGCACTTCCCAGACACAGCATCTTCACGGGGCCATGTGACTGGGGTTCATGCTTGGAATACGAGCTGAAGTTATATGGGCCATTTCCAGATGAGGTACTTAAGAAGGAATTCCACTAACTCGGTGCTTCCCATCAGTGTGTTACAGCACAGTTAAGGACAGAGCAGAGGAGAGCTGGGGGAAAATGATCCAGTGAAATGACCCAGGCAACCCCTAGAAAGAAGCAGCCTGGACTCCTAATTCATTTCTTAAAGGAGCCTCCTATGCATAATCAATAATTACATTTTTAGCCTGTAAACCTGAGAGTTGCTTATTATCACTGCAGCACTGCAGAGACCAGCTTGACTAACATAGCTCCTCCTAATAAACTGCTTTTAAACTCAAACACATCAGCTTTGACCTCAGCCCTCAATGCTTTAGCTGTCGCATTGTTATTTCCACTATCCCTAGCAACCTTACTGTTTCTCACATAACCTAGACTTTTGTTATGTTGCATGTTCTCATCTCTGCCTCTCTGCCTGTCCCATTTTCCTCTCCTTCTTTTCCCATCCCATTTAAACTCTGTGGTTAACCCTTTTGCCATAGTCTTGCTAATGCATAGATCTCACTTTCCCAGGGATTGTTCTAGGTTAGACATTGTAATGGCAACTCTGAACACCAGAGTAGCGGCCTTGAGCCAGGCAAAAAATGTACATGGTCTCATCCCGTCTCCACCCTCTGTTCTGGTTCTTCACTTTGTCTGTAATGTTAATTTTCCTGTTAGATCCGTCCTGTTTCTGGGATCCTCTCTGTCTCTCTCTCTCTCTCTCTCTTTCTTCTCTAACTTGCTGTTTTCTACCATTTGAATCTTGGGTTTTGGAGAGGATCCGTCATTGTCATTCACCACTTTCCCATTTTTTCCTTCCTCTGGCCCCAGATTTACTAAAAGAATATTTGTAGGACAAAAAGTTCAGTTCACCAAGACTATAATAACAATTATAATCAGGGTGCAAATTTTTAATTTATAATTACATAGCCTTAAAACATGTAAATGGAAAGCTGAGATAACTGGAAATAGACAAATTCACAGACATCATAAAAGTGATTCAACATACTGGCAAAATAAAGAAAAAAAGACATAGTATTATTATAATAATTGATGAGAAGTTTTCGGGTCAAGAATTTAGTATCTGTATATATTATTTCTAAGTAAAATTTAGAAAAGTATAAATAAGCTTTTTCAACCCAACAAAAAATAGATACAAAAAGTTCGTAGCAAACATTGTAAGTGATGAAAATTTGTAGGGCTTCCCTCTGAAATTAGGAAACAAGCATTTTTATTAAGCATCATTGTTAGAAATCCTTGTAATACACAAAGAATAAGCAATAAAAACTTTAAAAGGTGTAAGAGTGTGAAAAGACTATAGGTGACACACTTGTCCTGTGAAACTGAGAATTAATGAGTTTAAGGCATTCTCTCAATACATGGTCCATGTACAAAAGTTGATCATTATTCCTGTGTATTGCAGGAATTATTTATATGATGCAAGTGTCAAGAATATAAAATTTTCAGTGGCACAAAATATATTAATGCTTGGAAATAAACTGGTATGACATCTTCTACATAGCCGTATGTGTGCCTTCTTTTCACAGAGTGGGTGTTTAAATGAAGCCCAGACGTGGAAGACCATGATCCAGCTCCATAAGGACCTCCCACTGGAAAACGTCTGGGGGCCGGAGGTAAGAGCCGCCTTGCCTAGCACGCTGCTAGAATCACGAACTTGCCAAAAGCTTGATGGGAACACCTTGGACTGAAATATCTTTTGGTAAATCTAATCTTATTTTTTATGTTGATAATTATCAAACAATACTTCATCTTAATTTCTGTGTGTGGATTCTTGTTATTAACTTAGTTTTCACTGCAAAATACCTGAGTTTTCAGATTATTAAATAATCTAATAAACTTGTTCAAATGTTGAAAGTGAGTTTTATAAAAGACAACTTATCTCTCTTACTTCACTTATTTTATTTATTTTCTCCTGGTGCTGGAACAAGCTTTCCTTAACAATCAAGGAATCAACAAGAATTTCCCTGGGCACCATAGCCAAGAGGAAAGGGAATTTCGTTTACTTCTTTTTTTTTTTTTTTTTTTCACTTCTATAACCCCAGTATCTAACCACTGTAGATGACCAACACAAATTTTTAGATTAATTAAATAACTATAGATTATTCGCCTACTTGAAGAATAGTGTTCTACTGTTTAAAAACCATAAGGAATTGAACATTAAACTTGCTAGAAGACAGAGTAGGTATATTTTTGAAAACACTGATGTAGGCAAAGACTTTATGAACAAAACCCCAATTGCACAGGAGCCATCACAAAGAATCATCCTATTGAAAAGCTTTTGCACTGCAACAGAAACCACCAACAAAATAAAGAGACAATCCACAGTGTGGGAGAAATGTTTGCCAGATCTATCTTAGATAAAGGATTGCTATCAAGAACATAGAAAGAACTCAAAAAAAAAAAATCAGTCCTCCGAGATTTAAAGACCCAATCCAAAAATGGGCATCTGAGATGAACACACACGTCTCAGATGAAGAAATACAAACAGCAAATAAATATGTGAAAAAATGTTCAATGTCACTGGTCATTTGAGAGATGCAAATTAAAACAACACTGAGATTCCATCTTACTTTAGAAAGAATCACTATTATTAAGAAATCAACCAATAACAGTTGCTGGTGGGGCAGTGGGGAAAAAAGAACCCTTCTCCAGTGTTGGTGGGAATGCAGACTGGTGCCGCCACTGTGGAAATCAGCGTGGAGATTCCTCAAAAAACTAGAACTAGAGATCCCATTCTACCCAGCTACTCCCCTTCTGAGTATCTTCCCAGAAGAATTAAAAACATCATACCACACTGATAAATGTGCACCCCATGTTTAGAGCAGCACAATTTGTAACACTTAGCTCCTGGAAACAGCCTAAATGCTCATCTACTGGAGAATGGATTTTAAAAAAAGATGTGATATTTTTATAAAATGGAGTACTATTCAACCATAAAGAATAGAAACTGAAGACTTTTATAGATAGATGGATGCAATTTGAGACCATGCTGAGTGAGATAAATCAGACATGCATTTGTAATCATAGTGTCTCATTAGCATGAGAAGTTGAAAGAAACAGCATATGTAGATGATGTATATAAAAAAATTACTTAACATAGTTATACTACTGATTTCTCTGAGTTCATTAAAAGGAAACATTTGTGCTGGTATTGTTTGGACAATTGAAGGCAGATGTCTTGTGCTCTGGGAGAGTGATTTGGGGATGACAATACGCAATGTATGAACCATCGTTGCCTCTGATTGATGTGTTTTAAAGTTTTATTTTCCTCTTTGAAACAAAAATGGATTTAAAAATACACTAGCACCAGAATCAGTTCAAACCAAACCTACTCTCCTGACATTTTGTTGAAGGATATCCACAAGTCTGGAGTTGAGGAGTGATACAAATGATACTATCTCTATCTGCAGGTCCTGCAAGGTCACCTATATGTTCTTAGATTCTGTGAAAACATGGTAGCATGTTCCAAGGAAGCAGTGAGCCAGTTGGGAAATGAACAACCATGGAACTTGCTTCAAACAATATGAAATAATGCAATAGGTCTTTCTACCATGTGTCAGAATCACATGGAGGGTTTGTTAAAACGGATTGCTGGCCTCACCACCAGTTTCTGATTCAGCTGATCTGAGGTGGGGTCCAAAATCTGCATTTCTAACAAGTTCCCAGGGAATGCTAATACTGCTGGGCAACGGTTAAAAGAGTAGTTTACAATCTAGAAAGGTTTTGGAGGGCACATTCCAGGCCCTAAGTGTTCTGTTCTACTGTCTGAAAAACAAAGCCCACCACAAAAAGGATGAATTCAACCTTGAATCTGGATAGCATAGAAAGCAGGCTCTTGTAAAGGGTTGTTATGTCCTGCTGAGTAAGGTTGCTCTTACAGAAGGTGTCAATGTATATTAAGATGATAATCACAGAGAGCCATGTCTTCCTCCTGAGACATAAAATGAAATAGAGCCTTCCAGTTCTTGAAGATGCACTGATTATTCTGTAGCCCTGATTCTAGAAGGATGAATGATGCTTGCAGAAAAGATCTCAGAAATAGCTCTGAGGACCATAAATTCTCAAGAAAGAAAAACCTTGGAAGACTCATACACAAAAGTGGCTTTTTCACAGGTCCTTCCAAGCTAATGTTGGAGATTAAGACCAATGGCACAGTACAGGTACCGAGTGACAGGGCACATATAAATAATACAGAATGGGACTGGAACCTCTGGACTGGCTGGAAATACTAGACCTCGCTAGAGTGGAATGCAATTCATAAGACTAGGGGAGATTTGTTTTCTCAACAACTAGATGACTTGATCAAGTGATGATTTGCAAATGTAAAAGAAAGAAGAAAAGACAATCATTGGGAGAGTCCAATAATATACTAGGAAATATCAGATCTGACACAAAAAGTGGTGTATCAGTCAGTAGGTACCATCATCCATATTAGGAAACAACAAAGTCAGAAACTACAAACAATATTAAAGATTCGCAAATGTCTATATACCGAAGAATACATATAATGATGTAAGACGAATAACTCCTTTTTAGCAATGCTTTGTTGTATTCTAGTGCCTGCATATATTTAACAAATATCATGTATTTTTTCAGTTTAGCTCATGGTCCCATATATTAACTAACCTGGTGTGACAAGGAGTTTCATATTCCAGTACTGTCCCAAAAGATCCCTCTGCCATAATATGCTCTCTATTTTAAGTTAATATACATAAAAAATAAACTTCTTGTTTTTCATTAATCTACATCCAGCATATTAGCTTATAAGTGTCCTAGAGATTCAAGTGGTAAATACATAGACAAAAGTGAGAAACGATAGATGTAGATTTTTTCAGTAATTGTTTGTATTTTACCAACATGTGAGCTAACACTTCATTAACCTGAACAAAGTCAAGAGTGTCAGGATGGCTCTTATGATTAAAGAATAACTATATTTTTACGTATATATATATAAACATAACTATAGAATGATTCATACAAAATAAATGACCTACCAATGAAGGAAAAAGGATAATTTTTGGTGTGAAGGCAGTATCTACCTTTTTTTAAAAAAGTCATGAGTCGGATGGTAAGTACTGAAGTATATATAAATAAGGATAAAAAAGAACTAGGCAAGAGATTGTTGTGTAATCAGAGATTACATAGTCAAATAGAGGAATTACATCATGCATTCCTGATTACCTCCAAAACCTAATACACAGAGTTAAGATAGAAGGTTGCATGCATAATGCCATTGTATTTGCAAACATTAAAATGTGGAGTGAATAAGGAAATAACACCATCAAGTAAATCAAGTATCTGTTACTTATTCAAACGCTATGGAAAGAACTTGACCACCTGAACAGCATAATCTGGGAGAGATGAAAGTGCAAACATCTATATACAAAGTCACCAGGAGTTTAGCTGTAGGTGAGGAATGAGGATCATAGCCATTCTTGTGGAAGAAGTTCTCCTTTGGGTGCAATCCTATTAAATGGGGCTGGAATCATTTTGCACATAGGCCAGTCTAGACAGTTGCCCTACCATTATCGCCTTTTCCATGGCAGACCTACAGATTGGCACCCTTTTTGGTTGTAGTCAACCCCTGGAATAGCTAACCTCATGCATATCCACTGAGGCTGCTATTCCTACTCCCAAACTTAGTCTTTTCACAAACTGAAGATGCGCTGTCCTGTGCAAATGTCACTTCAAAAATTCTTTGTTGGACCATTGTATCTGGTATTGAAACCCACAGTTACAGCAACAGCCCCGCTCAGCTCAGCAAGAGAGTTCTCATCATGCTCTTGGGTCTTCTACAGCTTACATCTCCCTGTGTATGTGCCAAGTCCTTGAGTCCCCGCCCTGCTTCCTCTGTGTTTCCTCGTGAAGAGATCACCACCATACAGGGTGGGCATGCATAAGGCATTTGGATCCTTCACAATGAGTAACTAAAGCTAGAAGATGTGTAACTGGTCTGTTGCATACAAAAGTTTCCTGACAGTGTAGCCCAATATATAACCCAATGTTGCTTCTCTTGTGATTTCATCCTTCACTGTACAATCTACCATGCTTTACTCAGAGCTCTCCCAAGTGGATCTAGGACGTATGTGTCCTCTGCCCTTGATTACTTCTAACTTCATTTGGCCTTTCACATCACAATGTCGTTAGCATGAGGAATTGAACCACAGGCAAGACAAACAGCTGTGGTACACACACAGCCTAGCGTCAGCTGGCCCCTCTCCACCATTTAATCAGGCTGACCTTTGTCTCTACCAGAATAAAAATGATAAGCAGTCTCTTCTTCTTCCTCTTGCTGACCCTACATTTACCCTTAACCCAGTGACTTACCTTGCATTTCTGCCTAAAATGCATTTTAGCTTTTAATTTGATTATTCCAAACAGTTCTCCTTCAACCTGGTGAGAGCACTGCTACGGTGATGAAGTACCTTAAACGGTCTTCCCCTTGTTGCATCTGCTCACTTATAATTGAAATCCTTGGGAAAGAAATTTGGTAGAACCCAGATTTGAGCTGCCCCACCCTGATCCCAGCTGTGTCTTGCAGTAGGACATGTGCCTGTCCACTTCTGTAATGAAAGGTGAGGATGTGGAATTACCCTCTCACTCTGATGTCATCGAAAAGGAATCAGAGTTCTATTGATAATGGTAATGTACTCTGGGTAGAGCAGAAAAACAAGAGAGGAAATATCCCAAAGCCCTGCTCTCAGGAAGCAGTGCTAACAGAATTCTCATTTCATTAAGTCCTACGTGGAATTAGCTACAGCCTTTGATGAGACTTTCGCCTCCTTGAAGAAATGAAGAATAATTGGTTGTTGGAATGGACATAACAGGAAGTAGGGCAGGTGTCTGTCTCCTCACATTTGTGACAGCCAGTGCAGTGAAAACAGGCATCGTGAGAACTGTACTTCACGCTTGAATAAAACAGCTTCCAAAAATTTCAGAGAAAACCTTCTGAATGGTATGGTCAATAGAGAGGTCTCCAGAGAAACTAGGGTGTGATCGCCTAGCATACCAAACAGCACTCTCGGCAAGTTTGTGAGTGGAGGAATAGAGCTCAGCCAAAAGACCAGAGCTTATTCAACGTGGTTCAGAGCAAGAGGTCACAGGTACACAGAGTATAGCAGACTCTTAAATATTGAAAAATCAAAATAGTTTAACACTAAAAATTAAAACTCAGTGTTGACCAATATACTACCCACTGTGTGCCAGACTGGAGATACAGCAGTCAATAATAAGCATCTTAGCAAAAGCATAAATAAATAAAACAGAATATCAACAAACTAACAGGGCATGGCAGCACATGCCTGTAATCCCTGCACTTGGAAGGCTGAGACAGGAGGGTTACCACAAATTCAGGGTCAGTCCGGACTACATAGTGTCTTCAAAACCAGCCTGAACTACCTCATAAGACCCTCTCTCAATAATAATAATAATAAGTTTTTTTCTAAAGCTTACCGTTTTTGCCATCTAAATGTGATTAAAATTTTTGACCATGGAGTTGTCATGAGAAACTCCTTGGGAGTCTCTGCAAGAGCTGACTGAGGTACTATTGACTGGGAAGTTATTCTTCAAAGAGAAATGCTTCAGGATAGTTAGGGGGAAAAGAATAATATGCTCTGAGTGAATTTTGTGCTGCTGTCACAGAATACCTGATTGGATAAATTACAGTGAGTTAAAATCACTGGCCTATGACTGGAACACACTGATGTCCAAGGTGGCTACGGGTTTTCTGTAACAACTGTGCTTTTTTTGTGGGTGGGTTTCAAAATACAAACCACAAAGAGTCCTTTTTATCCCTTACTTTTAAAATCACAGATGAAACAAACCTATTTTTTTAAATCACTTCATGAAAACTAAAAGAGCAAGATAAGCTTGTTAAAATTTGCAAGTGAGTCACCTTACAAAAACACATAGTGTAGGGCAGGGGATATAGTTCAGAAGCACAGTGCCTGCCTGGCAATCGAGGCCCTGAGTTTGATTCTGGTGGTTACTGGGCATGGTGGCACATGCCTGTAATCCCAGCACTTGAGAGAGGCTGAGGCAGGAGGATCCTTGCGAGTTTGAGACCAGCCTGGGCTAAAAGTGAGCTCAAGGCAAGCCTGAACTGCGTAGAGAAACCCTGTCTCAAAAAGACAAAAAGACCAAAAAACCCAAGAAATCCCACAGTCGTGGTAGGTAATGAGGGTAAATAAAAGTTCTAGAGGAAGGTAAAAACTCAAGGATATATTACCTCAATGGTGTCTAAATAGTTTCTGTCCCCAGTCAGCATCCCTGGAGGATTTTATGTTTTGTTGGTTTAGGAAAATAATATGTGAGCAGCCAGGCATGGTTGTGCACTCCTATAATCCCAGTGCTCAGGAGGCTGAGGCTGGAGGGTTTCTGGGAATTCGAGGCCATCTACATAGTAAATGTCAAGGCCAGCCTGCCCTACAAGCAAAACCTTGTCTCTGAAAATTTAAAAAAAAAAATTTAAATGCTTACATACCCTTAATCGTCTGTGTTAACTTTTTTGTTTTGATACCTGGGATCAAACTTGGGACTTCACCCTTGCCAGGCAGGCGCTTACTACACTGAGCTAAATCCCCAGCCCACGTTTGACTGTTTTAACTATTTTAAAATATAAAGCAGCTAGATACGATGGCACATGCCTGTAATGCAGCACTTGGGAGTCTGAGGCCGGGAGGATGATGAGCTCAGAACCAGTCTGGGCTACATAGTGAGTTCAAGGTCAGCCTGAACTATGCAGCGAAACCCTGTATCAAACCAAAACAAATAAACAAATAAGCAAACAGGCTAGAGATGAGTGGTACAACACTTGTTGAGTAATTCCTGGATTCAGTCATCAGCACCAAAAAACAGACAACATTTGCTTTCATTAAGCTTCACTTTTTATAAAAATTTAACCCAATATAGGCCCTAAAAATGCAATAGGATGATGATAGAAAGGAAAATCTCTAAATAATATTCCAAGACAAATATATGGAAATATAATTTCATTTGCCAGTCAGCAAATGATCTTTGTTCTTGTCTTTGTTTCTTTTTCAGAACTATAGGCCCTGTTTTTCGTATGCTATTGGAAAACCAGGAGACTTAAATCAACCATATGAGATTATCAACATTTCTAATTATAACCATATATTTTGGCCCTTGCACCACTCTGGAATGTATGTGTTTCGGGTGAAGATCCTGGACCCAAACTACAGGTGATTATAAATGTTTTGTTTCTGGATTTAATATGAGTCTACCTAAGCATCCTATTATTGTCAGTATGGATCTATTTGCTTTTTCATTTTGTAACAGTTATATCAAACATTCGATGGGAGTGGGAGATTTAATGGTAAACATTCATTGCTCAGTTTGAAATTACATTTTGAGACCTTTACTGTGTTTCGTGTACCATCTTTCACAGACCCAATATAAGACAAGCGTAATTTACTTCTCCAAGATGCTTAGAATTAAGTTGAAGTTAAATCGGAGTAAAAACGTGAGATATTTTTCATGTATAGTCATCTTATTAACAAACCCACTAATTCAGAGATGGGAAAGATTAATGCTATTTTGAGCAATAGAAGAAAACTTCCTGGACAACATGGAACATTAGTGCTGATTGAGTAGCCCTTATCCAAAATGCTTGGGACCAGAATTGTTACAGATTTCAGACCTTTTTCAGATTTTGTAATAACTGCGTATATATATAATGATTTATCTAGCAATAGGACTCAAGTTTAACCACAAAAAAAGTCATTTATATTTCACATACACCTATACGTAGTTTCAGGTAATTTTATATCATGCTTCCGCTGTTCCTGTGTTGTTTTTCAGTTTTGTCTGTTTTGGTGAGTGTGTTTGTTTTCTGGTCTGCTGTAAAGGTTATGACATCAGATGCAGGTGAACAGCTCACAGGGCAAGGCCTGGGGAAAGAAGTACACAGCTTCAACGTCCTCTCTGAGTGAATTACCTCCAGGAACCTCCATGTGTTCAGGAGCTCTCTAAACCCAGTTGGTTTGCATTTTATGGAGACTTTATTACACAGCCATAATTCACTAAATCCCTGGCCATTGGTGATCAATTTAGCCAACAGTCCTCTCTCTTCCTTGAAGATTGGGGCAAGGTTTAGTGTCTGATTTGGCTGTGCTTTTTCTGTTGACCTGTTCCCCACACTGAAACTGCCTCCGGACTCTAAGCCATCAAGCAATCATTAACTTACCAAAGGACACTTGTCACTTATTTTGAAGATACAATGATTTTATGAGTTGTATGTCAAATAAAAAGGAGAAAAAATAAGTTGTTACATATTTCACAATATCACAGCTGGCCCTCTTTCAACAAGACTTCCTTACATTAAGACAGACAGCTGGGCAAAGTGGCACACACCTATCATCCCAGCTACAATCCTTGGGAAACAGAGGCAAGAGAGTGGCAAGTTCAAGGCCAGCCTGAGCAACTTTATAAGACCTGTCTAAAAATGGCTGGGGATTCAGCTCAGTTGTAGAGTGGGTGCCCCAAGTGGTATCCCCAGAATCACACACACACACACAAAAGAAAGAAAGGAAAAAAAAATGACATACAGCTCAAAAGATTGTGCACATTTCTAGAGTTTCATCTCACCACCATATTGCACAAATATGTCTCCCAAGCCAAAGCCACTCAGGTTTACATGCTTCCATTTGATCTTATTGGGTCCCCACAACACAGTGATCTTGGCAAACAGCGCTCCCCTTGCAGACATTTGCCTCTTGCTCTGACCTTCTTTCAAAGATTACTTTAATGCTGAATTTCCCTTATTACCTGAATGATTTATTCGTCTCTTTACCTTTGACCCATCCCATGAAGTCAGTTGTAAAATATTCCACTTGCGGCATGACAGAGCTTAAAATGTTCCAAGTTTTAAAGCATTCCAGATTTCAGGTTTTCAAATTAGGAATGCTCAACCTGGAGAATTTACATTGCCAATGGACTGACTAGGACAGACACTTCCAGTGAGAGAAATCACACTAGAATGAAACTAAATGTTAGCATATGGTCTTCAGCTCACAGTCATGAGGGAAAGAAGATAGCTCCCTGAGTAAGGAAGGTAGAGAACAAAAAAGGGAGACAAATTTAAGGCAATTCATAGTGTTTAAGTAAATTCCAACACATGCTCTTGACAGCCTCTTCAGTTTCTTCACTATGAGAGTGGAAGCATAGTTTTAGGGAAATAAACCTGCGAGCAGCATAAGGAATGGTGTAGAAGGAAAACAAACTCTACCCAGGGAAATGAGAAGAGTGATGTAAATAAGGCAGGAGGTCAGAGGAAGTCCTAAAGGCCGTGAGAATGGCGGAAAAGTGAGCAAAATACCTAATGTGTATCAGGAAATATAGGGTTCATCTTTATCTAACTACAAGGAAAGGAGAAATTAATGTGGCTTAAATGTTCCAGACCAGGTGATTAAATTAACATTATTTTCCTTAATCATGAAGGTAGCTGGGGGGTTTTTATTTGGGGAAGCCTTTTTGTTAATATTCTAATAAAATCAAACTCAGGGATATTCTCTTTTTTCGTACATCTTTTTTAGTGCATTGAAGAAAGTATTGAAATAAGAGCTTCGATTTTGAATTTGAGACAACAATGAAATATTCTATACATAGTTAAAATATGTGAAGATATTCTATACATAGGTAAAAGTTCTAATTTGAGCCTGAAATTGAAGGAAAGAGCTGGGAATAAAAGGGGGGGTGGGTATTTTTCACAGTGATTTCAAGAGCATACGTAAGTTAACTGATCAAAAGGAGAAGAGGCTGGGGAGATAGATATCACAGTTCAGAAACTAAGAGTGATGAGAAAAGGGACAGAGCAGTAAGTGCTTCAAATACAAAAAGAGGAGAGAAAATAGAAAGTTAATAGGAAAGCACAGTAAAACAGAGTATTTAATGCAACTCATTTACTCTTTTTCTTTTTCTTTTTTTTTTTTTTTATGGGTACCACGGATCGAACTCACGACCACACACTTGCAAGGCAGGCACTTATGCCGCTGAGCTAAATCCCCAGCCCCAACTGATTTACTCTTACTGTTTGAGCAGAAGCCTCAAAGACAATTTCTACCATACTCTAAAATCACAGTGTTATCTTTACTTTTATTAACTTTTAAACTTTTAGTTTAGTCTGTTTTATTATTGAGTATTTAGCAGGAACCCTAAATGCCAGGAGAGCATAAGTGATGTATTTCAAACCCGAGAGAAAATAACTGCCAATCTAAATTGCTATGTCTAACAAAGCTAACCTTCAGAAATAAAGGAGAAATAAGGATCTTTTAAGATGAGCATAAAGCACAAGCCAGCATCACAGAACATGGCTAAAGGAATCCTACACACTAAAAGAGGAAGAGTAAATAAATTATTGAGACTTATTGAGAATTAGCAAAAACTCAAACATTAGTAAAACATTAAAATGATAGGAATTAATAAATTACTTTCAATAATAACCCCAAACATAAATGGCCTTAATTCTATAATTAAAAGTCACAATGGAAAATTGAGTTGATTATGCAATGTCATATACAGACCAAAAGTGAGAAGATAGAAAATGATATTTCATGCAAATGGAATACAAAACCAGCAGGAGTAGCAATATTCATAACCAATAAAAAATGCTTCAAGACAAAATTCAAGCGCCTGCCTTGAAAGCAGGCAGTCATGAGTTCGATCCCCGGTACCGATAAAAAAAGAAAAAGACAAAAAAAAATTCAAAGATACAAATTCAAAGAAGTCATTTCATATTGTTAAAGGGAAAAATTCATTATGAAAATATAATAATTATAAATATATATGCACCAAACATCAGTGTACCCAATTTCATGAAACAAGCACTATTCAACATAAAGAAACACAAAGGTCCTAATACAATGATAGCAGGTGAGTTTAATAATCCATTCCTGACAACAGATAGCTCACCTAGCTATCAGGGTTAAACTACACCATAGATCAAGTGCACATCCATAGAGCAGTCCACCCAACAACTGCAGAAAAAGTCCTCCTTTCAGCTCATGGAACTTGAAATATCTCCAAAAGAGATATTTTGGACCATAAAGTAAGCCTTACAAAAACAACAAAAAAGGTTGAAATAATTTCCCACATTTTATCAGATCTTAATAGAATGATACCAGAAATCAACTAAAGAAAGACTACTAAAACCATTCAAACACTGACTAATTGAAAAATACATTTTTGAACCATCAGTGGGTCATTTAAGAAACCAGGAGGTAAATTTTAAAATTCCTAGAATCACATGAAAAAGAAAACACAACTGTTAGGATTTAGATTTAAAATGTGTCCCCCAAATCTCATGTATCAGAGGCAGAGCCTGATTGGAAGAGTCAAGTCATGATGAAAGCCCCTGACAAAACCAGATATAGAAAGATCTTGCCTCAACACAATAAAGGCTGTGTATGGCAAACTCAGCCAACATCATATTGAATAAGAAAAAATGAAAGCACTTCCTTCAAGTCTGTTTACTCCTGTTAAACATAGTCCTTGAAATTTTAGCTAAAGCAATTAAGCAAGAGAAAAAAAATAAGTGTGACACACACAGAAAAGGAAGAAATCAAGTTAGTCCTTTGTGAAGATTATATGATTATATACAGGATACAAAATTGATGTATAAAAATTAATAGCTCTTCTATATACCAATAACCAATCTTCTGAGAAAGAAATCAAGAAAGCAATTTCATTTGCAATAGCTTAAAAATATTAAATAAAATACACGGGAATAAACTTAGTCAATGAGATGAAAGACCTCTACAGATAAAATTGTAAGACACTAAGAAAGAAATTGAAGAAGACTCTAGAAAATAGAACTCCCATAAATGTAACATCAGAATCAATATTGTAAAGATGGCCATGTTACCAAAGATAAGCAGCTGATTCAATGCAGTCCCCCTCAAAGTCCCAATAACCTTCATGGAACTAGAAAAAATAAACCTAAATTCATGAGAAGCACAAAAGACCCCAAATAGCCCAAGCAATTCTAAGCAAAAAGAGCAATGCTGAAGGTGTCGTGATACACAATTTCAAAATATACTATGAGAATATAGTCCCAAGAACCTTGGGGCTGGGGATTTAGCTCAGCGGCATAAGCACCTGCCTTGCAAGCAGGCTGTCGTGAGTTCAATCCTTGGTACCGATAAAAAGGGAAAAGACAAAAAAAAAAAAAAAAAAAAAAAAAAAA